GATCGCTGGGTTGCCTCCCACCCCTGAGGGCTCCTGGACTGTGAGAGGGGGCAGGCCGGGCTGAGGGAACGCCCCCCCCCCCCGCAGTGCATAAATTTTCTTGCGCTGGGCTTCTAGTATGAGATAGAATAGTCTTACTATATTTCTTTACATAGAAATAATTTTTTTATTATTATCCTATCTTAATTAGTTTTCAATGTATAATGCAGCATAAATTACCTTACAAATTTCTTTTTGGTACTTAGTATTTTCAAAACATGTTTCATATAATATAAAAACTGTGAATTAATAAGAATTTTGTACATGTCTGATCATAACTTATGAATTAAACATATTTGCTTCCTTTCAATTTGTGGTAACTAGCCAAAAATGTTTAAAACAGCTCTAAAAAAAATCACAAATTATTTGAACCAAGTAAACTTTGTACTTTAGTGGATTAAATAATGTCATATTTCATGTGTAAGTAGAAAAACTTAATAAAATATATACTATAAATCTTGTTAATTATTTTATCCTAGTGGCCCAGTGCATGAATTCATGCACATTGAAAGGAAACTAATTAGAAGAAATATTTTAATATCACTATTTGCCCTTTCTCTATAATCGAAGTGTCAACCAAATTCACGATTGACAATGACAGATAGAAACACACATATGAGATTGGTGCCAGCAAGAGCTTTATATGTATCGTGCATGTACGAGTCAACTTAGCCTTTTATATAGAGAGAATAAACTTGCTTAATTAGACCTGCTTTTTGATTTAGCTAAACTTTTTCCAGCCCAGTGAAGCACCCCAACTTCTCTTTCAGGTAATTGTCAGCAACACAGCAGTAAATATTAACACAAAGCAGATTATTATTGTAGATCATGCAGGGAGAACAAAGGGTAAAGTATTTAACTGCAGCAGTGTTTGACTATATTTTGCACGGGTGAGGAAACCTGAAGTCATTTTCAAGGTCCACCATTTATTAATTCTTTTAAGTCAGGTCAAGTTTCTAAGCTTTCTAAATCTCCATTTCCGGGTAATGAAAAGAGAATAGGATTCCACTGAGTCTCCTATCTACCTACTCCAGGACTTCTGTGAGGATCAAATGAGATGAGGCACAGGAAAATGCTTCACAGACATTTGGTTAAAGTGTAAAATGTTTGCACCTGGCTATAAAGCAAGTCATGTTCCTGGGCTGAAGAAATTGCAAGGAGGCTAGTCGCTATGGAGAGGAAGCTGGGTGTTGCTATGTGACATCATTACCTGGCTCCCACAGCTACCATTTCCGGGCTGGGCTGGGCTGTGGGCCGCATTTTGTGCCATGGGATCTCGGCAGCATTGGCTGCGATTTGGTGGGGTGTCACTCCGGGGTGGTGGTGGGGCCTGTGTCCCACTTGGGGGAAGCCAAGTGTTGCTTTGTGGGCACCAGGTCCATGGTACCATTTTTCTGTAAATGGCCAGTGCACATCATGGCAGCTCCTGCGTTGCACGTCTGCCCCCTGGTGGTCAGTGCACATCATAGCAACCGGTCAGATGGACACTGAGCATATTAGCCTTTTGTATATATAGATGGTTATTTAAAATAATTCAGTCAAATGGGCCACCACTATGTCAGCACAGGGTTAAAGGGCATAGCTACTAGACTCAGACTGCCTCAAACAAATTGGTCAAATTTCAATTTTAGCACCTGCCTAGCTATGTGACTTTAAATAAGTTACTTATTACTTGTGCCTCAGTGGCCTAATTTGTAAAATGGGGAACATATGCTAAGCACCTTATAGGGTTACATGAGGACCAAGTGAGTTGATGAAGAGTTTACAGCTGTACCCTCCACATAGTAAGCACTCAATGCTATATTAACCTTTACTAGCAAAATCTGAAGAGGAAGATCACACTTTAATTTTTCATTGTGAAAATTTTATAGCATAGTAGAGGCCCGGTGCATGAAATTCATGCACAGGGGAATGGGAGTGAGGGTCCCCTCAGCCCAGCCTGCACCCTCTCCAATCTGGGACCCCTCAGGGGATGTTCCACTGCTGGTTTAGGCCTGATCCCAATGATCAGGCCTAAACCAGCAGTCGGACATCCCTCTCACAATCTGGGACTGCTGGCTCCCAACTACTCACCTGCCTGCCTGCCTGATCGCCCCTAATTTACCCCCCCACCCGCTGACCTGGTCGCCCCCAACTGTCCCCTTCTGCCAGCCTGGTTTCCCCCAACTGCCCCCGCCACCGGCCTGGTCACTCCTAACTGACCCCCTCTACCAGCCTGGTTGCCCACAACTGCCCCCCTGCCAGCCTGGTCGCCCCATGCAGCCTGCTATTCAGTTGTTTGGTCATCCTTCACTAACCCCCCTACTGGCCTGTCACCCATCTGGTTGTTTTGGTCGTGATGGCCCATGGCTTTTTATATATTAAGATACTTTTCATTTTTTCCTGTTTTAATAATCTTTTATTTCATCCATACTTTCATTGAGTATTATTTCTTCAAAATACTGGAATATAATTTTTTTCCTTAAGCCTTCTCTCTTCAATAGAAGTCTCTAAGACATCACACTGAAGACCTCTATCTTGGGCATGAAGAGAAGATCATGCAGAATGCTGCAGTGTGTTCACCTGTGGTCTCTTCCTTCACTTTACCAGCCTCAACCATTACCTTAATTTGCAGCCTATGTGCTGAACTAGAGTTCCTTTTTTGTTTCTTTCTTTTCTGTCTTCTTTTATTTTTTTCATCATTTTCTCCCCTATTACCTTCTTCCAATTAAATCTCCCTTAACCTCCCCACCCCCAGCAATTACAACACTCCAGCTTTTTGAGAAGCCCATATAAATAATACAGTAAAAGGCAAAAAGTCCCTCATACTTGTACAGCACATTTTGGGTTTTCTTCTTCATTTGTATAAAAGGAGACTATTGAGAGGTTGAATTTGTTTCAATACAACTTAAGCATTTTTTATGGTGTTCAATTAATTGTTTAGTATTTCAGTCCAGTTAGAGAAAATAAGCTAATTAAATGTAAGAGAGTGAATTTGGAACACCTCAGATTATAATTCTTAGTTTTTAAAATTCCATTTTATTAATATACATAATAATGATATTAAATATTTAGACCCATAAAACTATCAAAGAACCACAGAATGACAGAGGATCATAGAAATTAAATATTAGAAAACACTTAGAGGTCTAGCATCTCACCTGAGACAGAAATGTTTTTGTTCAACATCTAACTTTGTTTCTACATTTCCTGTTTAGGGAAGTTTATTACTTCTCCATTTTAGACAGCTCTAAATATGTTTAACTGTTCCTTTATATAAGCCAAAGTCTGGCTACCTCTAACTCCCATAAATCCTATGAATTAATGTCATGACAATACTTCAGATATTAGAAGACGGCCAGCATTAATCCCATTTTTGTTCTCTACTCCTGCTTCTTAATCTTCTTTCTGGATTTAACAGTGTCAGATCCTCTAACTACTTCTCAGATGGTATCACGGTTAGGTGTCTTACTTCTGGATACTTACTAACTTTTTATTATTCTTAAATGAGTCCTTATGTGTGCATCAATGGATCATGTATTAATTAAACAGTGTCATTAGTATTTGTGCTATACTAGTAAAATATGTAGACGTGATGTAATTAGACAACAGGTAAGTAAAGGATTTTGAAGTAAGTGCTAGATAGGTTTTAAATGTAAGAGAGAGCTGAAAGGAAAGTCTGCTGAAAGCTACTCTAGAAAATGAAGTATAAGGTGATGAGGATCTGGATTGAGTAGCGATAAAAATGGAACAGAATGGGCACTTACATGTGGTGTTTCAATGCAAACATTATCAGGATTTAGAAAATTCAGTAAATCCCATGGATAAAGGTGATTCAAAGCATCCTGCAGGTTTCCTAACATGAGCGACTGATAAAAAAATGTTAACACTATTGTCAGAGACTAGAAGAGAGACCTAGTTTGAGAGCAAATCGGAGAAAATAATGAGTTTGTTTGAAATTGAGACAAAATTAGGACATCCATTTAGAAACCTCTCTTGGAGATAATAGAGAATGGAACTGGAAATGTGTGTATCTGAGTATATCTAGGTAACCATCAGATTCAAGATAATAATTGTAGTCCAAGAACTGATGATTAGTCTAATGGACAGATGAGGAAAGAAAAGAACAAAAGACCTGGGACCAAGTTTTGAGGAGAGACGTAGTTGACATGGCTCATGCCAGAAATCAGGGAGGAAGTATAAGAGTAGCAGATCTTAATGTCAGTCACATTTACAGAACACTAGTAGGTTATGGAGCTAATGTTCTGGAAATATTGACTCGGTGAAACTATAAGAAAATCAGTTTGAATTTTTAAAACTTGATTATGTTATTATGTCCCAAATTCTAAAAGTCTACCTTTTTTTAATCCTTAGAATTTCTGAAGTCCACTCCCTGTTGAAAAAAGGACTCATTTGGGCTGTCACAACTATATATGCTTTTTAAAAGTAAATAGTCATTTATTATCTTAAGTATTAGAAATAATTAACACTCTATAAGAAAATGTGGACTTACATTTTTTTATTTTAATGCTTCAGTCACTGAAACATGGAATCCATGAGACATAAATATCCAGATGAAAAGAAACCAGCCATCTGTATGATTTTTCTACACAATGTTTACATTTAGATATGCCCAGACAATTGATGATTCATAGTATTTTGTGAAATATTGAACCTGGTTGGTAATTGGTTTCTTTACAACTAAAATTACAAAATTGCAAAGGTCATAAATATTTGCATTTGTGTGTTTCCAGTATTTCTATAATTTTAGGAGACATTTCCTTTGAATATTGCATTTCTGGTTTTTTTAAAGTATCTGTGTGTGTGTGTGTGTGTGTGTGTGTGTGTGTGTATCTATCTTTTATTGGTATAAATATAATGCTTTCATTATCATGGGGGTGGGGGACAGTTTATATGCCACTATTAAATATTGTCACCAATAGTCTACCTAAATGATCTTGTGTGTATGTTTGTGTGTGCAGCCACAGTTCTTTCAAGAGACACCTACCACGGCAAATGCATGTGTCCAGTGTCGATTTTAGTATAGGCACAGAACCCGTTTTACAAAGAGGAGAAACAACAACCAGCATTGGGAGGATAAAACCAGAGCTCTACAAACAGAAATCAGTCGACTCTGAGGGCAACAGGAAAGAAGATGTCAAAACCTGTGGGAAACTTAACTTTACCCTCCAGTATGATTATGAAAATGAACTTCTGGTTGTTAAACTCATCAAAGCTTTAGATCTCCCTGCTAAAGACTTCACAGGAACGTCTGACCCGTATGTGAAGATGTATCTTCTCCCAGATAGAAAAAAGAAATTCCAGACCCGTGTGCACAGAAAGACTTTAAATCCTCAATTTGATGAAACTTTTCAATTTCCAGTAGCATATGATCAAATAAGCAACCGAAAACTGCATTTCAGTGTTTATGACTTTGACAGATTTTCTAGACATGACATGATTGGAGAAGTGATTCTTGATAATTTGTTTGACGTCTCTGATCTCTCCAGGGAAGCCACAGTATGGAGAGATATCCATTGGGCTACCGCAGTAAGTAATAGTTCTAATATATTGCTTTTTATTTGACCTGCAGTGGTATATAAAATGAAGTATTACCCAGCTTATTGATGTAAGTTTACAAAGTCATGGAATTTATGTGCAAAGAACCTGCAAAGGTAGGACTTGATTACATGCAAGTAATAACTCAGGTATCTAACAGTATATAGCTAACATTAGTAATTGGATAAATTTTTTAAAAAAAGTTCTTACAAGTTACTAAAAATAATAGTTCTTCTAAGAATCCCAAAACACCAATCAGAAAGAATATATGCACCCCTCTGTTTATAGCAGGTCTATTTACAATAGCTAAGATCTGGAAACAGCCCAAGTGCCCATTGAGGAATGGATAAAAAAGCTGTAGTGCATTTATGCCATGGAATACTATGTAGCAGTAAAAAAGAGGATTTCACCCTTTGAGACAGAATGGAGGTACCTGGAGAGTATTATGCTAATAAAATAAGTCAAATCAGAGAAAAACAAGTGTCACATGATTTCACTTATATGTGGGATCTAATGAACAAAATAAGCTGACTAAAAAAATAGATCCAGAGACATAGAAGCATGGAACAGACTGATGAATTTCAGAGGAAAGAGGGGAGGTAGGGGGTGGGAAGAGAGTAACCAAAGAATTTATATGCATATATGTATAACCCATGGACACAGACAATCGTTCAATGAAGACCTGAGGGGATACAGGATGGAGGGGGTCAATGGGTTTTTAAAAGGGGACATCTATAATACTTTCAATAATAATGATACATTTTTAAAAATAAATATAAATAAAATAAAATACTTATTTGTCACCTATTCCCAGCACTTAATTGCCTCATAGTTAATATTGACTTATTTAAGATGATTGTGTTCCTCAGATCAAGCCTAAAATGTATTTTGATAGTATTTTGAAAAGTCTTTGGTTTGGTCTAAAACAGCCCATTCCTTCAGAAACTTTTTTGGAATAGACACACTTACAGTATTTGAAATGCTGAATGGTCAACAAGTGATTTTTTACATTAGAAGGTTTAATTACAAAATGCTTTTACTGATTGTAAATAACTTTAATATGAAAAATTTGGGAAAAAGCACAGAGTTAAAGTACTCTATAATGCTATCAATTATATATAATATCATGACATATTGCTTTTAAATTTTTTTCAATGTATTTTTAAAATTACTAAGATCAAACTAAGTTTTAAAATATTTCCACTTATTTTCTTTCATGCTATATTTGTTTTAGTGCATGATGTTTACATTTATGACCCATTTACCTAACCGTTCTTTTATTGTTGGACATTTGAGTTAGGCATAAATTTTGTTATACTAAAAATTATTGTGTTTTTTATATAACTGTTTTTTGTTGTTTTTTATTAATCCTCACCCAAGGATATTTGTCTATTGATTTTTAGAGAGAGTGAAAGGGAGGGGGAGAAACAGAGAAAGAGAAATATTGATTGGTTGCCTTCCCATATGCGCCCCAACCAGGGCTGAGAACCTAGCCTGCAACCAAGATATATGCCCTTGATCAGAATTGAACCCAGGACCCTTCAGTCCACAGGCCGATGCTTTATCCACTGAGACCAACTGGCTAGGGCTATAAATTTGTTTGTTTGTTTTTATTTGAAATTATTTGTCCAGGATAAAATTATAGAAATGGAATTAGAGAGCTGATCCCTTAGATTAGATTGCTGAATTATTTTTATTTGTTGGTTTTTAAAGGGAGGAATTTAATTTTTTACTACCAAGTTGTCTTTATGTATTTACCATCTTTTGTCTAAGTATCGCCATAATTTATAAGCTTAAAATATAGAATTTATGAATATAGACAAGGCATTATTTTTTAAAAATATATTTTATTGATATTTTCCAGAGAGGAAGGGAGAGGGATAGAGAGGTAGAAACATCAATGAGAGAGAAACATTGATCAGCTGCCTCCTGCACACCTACTGGGGATGTGCCCGCAACCAAGGTACATGCCCTTGACCGGAATCGAACCTGGGACCTTTCAGTCCGCAGGCCGACGCTCTATCCCCTGAGTCAAACCGGTTAGGGCGAGGCATTATTTTTTTAAAAAATAAGAGCATTATACTTAAATTCAAAGTAGTTCCTTTTGTGTTTTTCTGCCTATCAATATTTTACTAATTACAATCGGTATTTGGGATCATATTTTCACTATAAATTATATGATAAGTTAATTTTAAAATTTATACTGCCAGTTTATTGCATTAGATAATAATAACATTTCCAGTTGTGTTTTTATTTTATGGTCTCCATTGTGATCTGTATATTAAGTAACAAAGAAGAAATTTGAACCTGGAACATATTTCAAAGATATTAGGACACTTGGTTTCATATTGTTTTACCTTATTATTTATATTTCTACTAGGGTAAAAATGGTGAGCAGTTATTTTTACTGTTGTAAAAAACATGACACCTTCTAGAATTCTATAAAAACAGGTAACAATTAATTGTTACATTATTTCTCTTGATTCCCCAATCTTATATTATTTCCTCTTTAATTCATTCAACAAATATTTTGAGTGTTTGGCATGGTCTAAGTACTAGGGATACCAAAAATTATGTGAAGCATGTTTTGTTCATATATTTAAGATCAGGGGTAAGTAACCCCTAAATGAAGTCTAAAAATTAGTATAACCTTTTAAGAAATTGATAGTGGATTTTTTTTTTTTTTACATTTGTAAGTTTTTGTGTTTTAAACTGGTCCTTAAAAAAGTAGGGATTCTTTGTGGAAACTTCAATTTGGACATGTTTGTTTTCGGTAAATATTAATAACGCCTTCGGTTTTATTTTCAACTCTTCCATATGCCTGATTTATTAATTTGCTATTTCTTCTGTAAAATTCACTACAGGTTTAGTGTCTTAAAACAACACATTTATCATCTTACAGTTCTGTAGGTTATAAGTCTGACATGGTCTAATTAGATAAAAATCAGGTCTGTATTCTTTCCGGGAGTCACTAGGGAAGATCCATTCCCTTTTTCCTGCTTCTAGGAGCCACAGTAATTCCTTTGTTTAGATCGGGCCCGCTTGGGTAATCTAGCATAATATCCCCATCCCAAGGTTTATAATCATTTTTAAATAATATGTTTTTATTGATTTTTAGAGAGAGAGGAAAAGAGAGGGTATATATAGAGAGAAACATTGATGAGAGAGGCACATCATCAATCGGCTACCTCTTACACACCCGCTACTGGGTATCGAGCTTGCATCCAGGGCATGTGCCCTGACCTAGAATCGAACCAGTAACCTCCTGGTTCTTGGGTCCATGCTCAAAGGCTAAGCCACACAGGCCAGGATCAAGGTTTATAATCTTAATGACATCTGAAACATTCCTTTTGCCATGTAGGTAACATATTCACAGATTCTGGGAATCAGGATGTGGCTATCTTTGGGGTGCCTTTATTCTGCATACCACGTGTAAGGACAGTTTTATTTCAATATTCTAGAAAGAAAAGTAAATAGGCAGATAATGAAATGTATTATTATATTATTCTAGTCAAATGACATTTCCCTTTAACTGGAACATTGAGCAACACACAGTTCCAAATACAGCTTATGAGTTTTTTATTGAGAAGATAATAATGAAACCTAAATGTCTTGGCTATGGGACCAAAATCCACAATATACAGGAGTATCATTTTCATGGCTAGCATAATATTTAATTAAAACCTCTTTTAACTTTTGAAAAATCATGAAACAATTTTATATATTCAGATTATAAAATGAGAAAAAATGATATAGGTTGATATTTGCTTAAGAAACTTTCAACTCTAACCTTTCTTTAACTTTAAATAAATTTATACATAAATTATAGACATTTATACAAAGAAGAAGGAAAAAGGAAAGAAAGAAATATAATAACATGCCCTCACTCACCTAAATCCTGTGGAAACCTAGGTAATCCAGCTATGTAAACATAGATATAAAAGAATTTACATACCAAATAAAACATATATTTGAATTAATATATTTGCTATTTATGTATTAGGAGACACTGATGACAGTATAAATAACTACCTACTGTGCACAGATCTTGAAAAAAAAAACATTCTTATACTTTTTTATTTGAAACTAGGGGCCCAGTGCACGAATTCGTGCACCTTAAAAGGAACTGTGGGCTGCGAGGCTGCAGTAGGCACAGGGGTGGGTCTTGGTCCATCCTCTGTGACCCCGCCCGGCCCCTTCCCCGTCCCCTGTCTGCCGGCAGCCCCACTCCCGCCACCACTGCTCCCACTCGCTGACAGTGCAGAGCGATTGCGGCTGGCACTGTTGGTGGCTGCAAGTAGTGGCTGCTGCCCCAATTGCCCCTCAGGAGCAGGGGGAGGTGGAGAAGCCCTCAGGGGCAATCAGGACCAATAGCCACCGTTCACACCCGCTGATGGAGCCAAGTGAGTGGGGCTGGCGCCAGGCACCAGCAGCAGGTGCGAGTGATGGGTCTGGCACTAGCTGCAGGTGCGAGCGGGCCCAGTGCCAGCAGCAGGTGTGAGTGCTGGGCAGGACTGCAGCACGCAGGACCAAAGTATTTTCAGTAAACCCCAGAGGCTCTCCCCAATGACAGCGACTGGCTCCCCACCTTGGTCTGGTTCCCCCGCTCACCTGCTCCACCATCCCGCCACAGCCAACACCTGCCATGTTCCACACACGCCCCCTGGTGGTCAGCGCGCATCATAGCGACCGATTGGTTGTTCCGCCATTTGGTCTATTTGCATATTAGCCTTTTATTTTATTTTATTTCATTTTATTTTTAATATATTGATTTTTTACAGAGAGGAAGGGAGAGGGATAGAGAGTTAGAAACATCGATGAGAGAGAAACATCGATCAGCTGCCTCCTGCACACCCCCTACTGGGGATGTGCACGCAACCTACGTACATGCCCTTGACCGGAATCGAACCTGGGACCTTTCAGTCCACAGGCCGACGCTCTATCCACTGAGCCAAACCGGTTAGGGCTAGCCTTTTATTATATAGGATAAT